AAAAGAGTGATTCCACTGTGCTTTGAAAATCAGAACTATAATCTACCCAGAAGATGCTCTTTGCGAAACGAACACATTTTGTCAAACAAAACAAGCCAGGAGTTGAGAGAACAAGATTTGAAGTAAACACCAAGCAACGTGTACAGATGGGGAGGAATGCATACTGAAAACATTAATGAAAAATGAAACTTAGCATAGATAAAAAAACATTCACTCACAAGCATCTATCTTCTGTCAGACAGTACGATTTTCTTACTGGCCATTACTTATGAAATTGGTCAAAAGCCCAACAGTGTCAATCCCATTGGAGCACCAAAAAACAACATGATCCTCTTCTCTTCTGACTGCTACACATTCACTTTGTATTGGATGAAACAACTGAAGAGACCACACAAGAAACTTCAAACCCCTCTGACTGAACAAATGGCAAAAAGTGCCGAAAAGGGAGTCATTTTTGCTTTGATGTTTTCAAAGCAATGAAAATTTGTGGGGAATAAAAAAAAAAAGTTAATTTCAAGATTAAATGGCAATGATGTTATTATGCAAAACGTATATCTGCATTTGTTGTCTTTGTTACTGTCCTGTCCCACTCTGTGCGCTCAGTCAGGGGGAAGGAGGTCATGAAGCCGAAACTGCTCGCGAACATGTGGCCGCACATCCTCATTCTGTGGACAGACAATGGAAAAGTACAATTTGTATTTAGACTCATTCATGAATTCTTATTTTATATATACAAAAAGAATACATTAAAATATAAATAAATACGTATTACACTTGTATAATGTTCACAGAGACACCTTGAAAGGAAAGTCAAGAAAACTAAGAGGTGAAGAACATGACAACATACCAATTCCACCAGTTTCTCCAAGAAAGGTACCAGCTTCAGAAGTTCGCTGTCATTCTTGTCCATAAACCAGCTTTCAATTGGGATCCCATTGGAAAGCTGTGAGTGAAACACATGGGTTGGTGATTTTAGTTACATAGATTTTCCTTAATCTCTCTAGGGTATTTCTGTACTGGGTCATCTACCCAAAGAGCCCAGTCACACACCTGTACTCCGTACTTGTATATACACTTTACGCATGCACAAATGAAAATACTTCATTACTTTCTAAATTACTACTCAATAATTACTAATATATTCTGGGTGGCCTGGGGGGAATGCAGCTGAATATAAAATTTAACAATAAGGGATTTAGAGCCTTACATAGTATACCGAAAAAATGGTGATTCACAGATATCTTCTATTAAAAGTGTGACTGATCTTGTAATTTATTACAATCTAAACAAAAAAGGTTACTTTTAAATAATCTTAAACTGTAATTATTTGGTTAAAAGGCTACCTTGATCAGCTCACCTGATAAGCAAAGGCTTGTGGTGAGTTATCAATAATTATAGTCTTGGACAGATCCCGTCCAAGGATATTCAGATCCTTAATGTAGTTTCCTTGCACACATACACAGTGCTCACGAAATAATCGGTGCCTAGAACATATCGGAAACACATACAGAGAGAAGAACGAAATAAATCTCCAGGACTAGAATCAATAATGCATTCAAAGCAAAGGTTTGACACCCGAGGATGGTGTGGAGTTTACATGTGCCAGAGGCCAAAGCTCCCCATCTACTCCAATCTCTCAATCCCTCATTGTAACCAAATGCTACAAAGAAACTCTGCACAGCAATGACAAAACTGAGGCTGGGTTACCCAACAACTGACACCCAGCCTAATTTTACATTTACTCTTATAACAAAAACAGTTTAAAAGAAAGAAAGAAAGAAAGAAAGGAACAGAAACAAACAAAAAAATACATTTTTTTTTTTTTTTTTTACTTTAAACAGTCATAAGGAAGAGTCTTGGAAATGATTAAAATAAAGGAAAAATAAAAAGATGTCCACAGACCGCACCAGCTGTTTCCTCGGATCGAGAATGTTCAGCAACTTGTCTGCATAAACTTTCTTTGAGGCAGTGAAGAGAATGATCTAGAAGGGAAAAAGTCAACAGTGGAACACTTCAGTCCACTATATAAAGGATGAAAGGTTATGTGGAGTAAAATGGATGAAGGCTTACCTCATAAATCTGTGACATGCGTTCAAGGAACTCTCTGAAAAATGGCCTCAATCGCACATAAACCTAAGAGAAATTGTGAATTAGGATTTAGCCCCAAAGAATTCAGGATTTTAGCCCCCCCCAAAATATAGGGGAAAAACATTTAATTTCTTAAGTTTCACAATTTTCAAATCACTCAACATTAGAGACTTGCTTGAAACTCCTGGATACTTTTCTTCGTTTCTTAAAATGGCTCTACAGCACCCTCTAGTGTTATGCTACTTACAAACAATGTATTCACACAAAGACAGCTTGGATTTCTACCTGGTATATGACATCTTGGAAGAGTACAGGAAAGGTTAGTGCTGCATCATCCAGCTCATTCAAGCTACAATGGACAAGGGTTTCATCCTGTACAAAGGAAAAAAATAATGAGAATCTAACCCAAAATGAAACCCTTGTAGTAGGAGTAAGTCTCCAGACTGACCAAGTCAAGCACCAGGGAGAACTCGGGAGTGCTGCGAGTCTTCAGAGGGAGTGCAGGTTTGCGAGTTTGCTGCTCTTCTGTTAGTGGAGGTACATGTTTGATGAAAAAATACCTGCAAAAAATGTATATAAATGCTTTTTTTTTTTTTTTTGACAAAAGGCTCAAGCAAACAATACAAAACAACACTACAAAAAATTATAAATAAAAATAATACATAGCACATACACAACTCTTAAAATTGACCTAAAAGTTCTACATTTAAAATGCTAATGGCGGAGACAGTTTAAGGTCTTCCTATGCTTGGCTTTTATTCCCCCACCACCGTCGTCTACCAGATAGAAGTGCCTAAAATGAACTACAAAGATGGTGGGAAGGATCTGTCACAATACCTGAGACTCCTTTTTACTGTCACAGTATAGAGGTCAGAAGGTGTTTTGTGTAGCCTACCAATAATTTTGCCCACCTGATATATAATCCCTGAAAGTCTGTTTTGTGTTTAGCAGAAAGAGTGCAATTTGTGTACCAAATTGATCCCACCTGCTCAACTTCCTCTCATTGCTTAAAAAGTATGTGTGCATTGACAGCACAGTTTTTTTCTTTCTGAGAGGGTTTCCAAATTATCTTTAGTTGATCTTGTACTTGCGGTTTTACTTACTGTAAACATTTGGTGTGTGTTTTTTTTTTTGGTATAAACTGGATATTGTTGTGGCAAATTGTGCTGATTTACATGTGTCAAAAAGGTAACTATACAGGGCTAAACAACCAGGCAGGCAATAATCTGAACTACTGGTTTGACAGGGGCCAGTAGAAAAAAAACATCTTATTGTTAAACCCTGAGCACAGACATTCACTAAAGGTGAACTCACGGGTCAAACACTTCCCACTCCTCTTCATATGATCCTTCAGCTGGGACAGTGAGAGAGGCGTCCACATAACCACCTGTTGCAGGAGAGCCAGGAGCTTAAATAAAATATGAAACAAAGCACTGTCAATATATTCTAGCCCCTGTAAATACACCTTACTAGAGCCCGACCGATATATCGTTTTGCCGATATGACCGTGTCGCAGATATATCGGTATCGGTGAATATGCCGCCGATATAATTTGTTTTTACAGAACATACAACGCAGATTAAATGCTTCTGAATGGTGTAATTACTTATGTTGCCCAGCAGAGCGCGCTGTTGTTTGCTACTGGCGACCCAGGTCAGTGTAGAGATGCGCAGATGAGCTCAAACAGTCCGCTGCTTCAAATAAATTATCCGCCTGCCACCCACCCGCACCTATATTTGATAGTTAGTTTTGCATGATGATATGATGAATGGATGGTTCATTTTTAACAGCAGATTCAGTGACGTTAGAGCTGATCTGTGCATCACGGCACGCATCTACGGCTCCACGGCCTATAGGGTTAGATCTCTGCCACAATTCTGCGTGCAAAAGATCATATTTTGAGCGCACAAAAGTGCATTTTGCATGTGCGTGATCTGCGTTTTGTGGAGAAAATGTTCGTTTCGCAAAGAAAAATGTATTTCGAGCGTTGCTGATGACAGCGAAAGAGGGAAAATACTAGGGCTGCACGATAAATTGCATGCGATATTTAACGCGCATCTTGAGATTTACCACTGATTACAGAACCGGCTTTACTGACAAGATGCGCGTTAAATAATAACTACTATTAATCTTGTATTTAATCACTTATAACCTATATACTATTGTTCATGAAGGCTGGAAGTGAAAAACGCCTTATATTCAGGTGTGCATAATTATTAAGCAGGTTATCTTCTACAGATAAAATCTTGAGATGGACTAAAAATGAACTCCCAAAACTTACTGCCAGATTCTGGAAGATAAATTCTTCAAACAGTGGTACAAG